CCTGAATGTCTCCTCCAACCAGTGGTTTTTCAAGGCATGTCTATGATCGAATGTTTCAGGACCGAGGATTGAGGTTAAAACTACATCAGTAATCTAGATCTCTCGTTACAGGACGACAGAATTACGGCGAAAGTTGCCCAGATTTGTGGTTTTGTTTCTTACAACTTCTATCTTCCTGAAATTAAATTATGACATTATCGAATGTTTGTACTTCCCATTCTCGAATATTTTTGCCCATTCTTTGTTTTGATAAACGAGGCTAGTCGTTCTAAAACTAAAAATGTGCAAAGGCATTTTATTCGAATTCCCTTCAGCGTGGCACATCCAAATACCTCCTACCCAAATAGGTGGCTGCTAACTAACCTCAAATTCCTATGCGTTAAAAGACTAGAAGCAGGTGTCTGCTTGCATATTTTTGTAATACAATATTCTATGTGGATTCTTAGTTGTTTTATGTAGTCTGTCGGTTTCAGCTGTATAGTTCGCAAGACAAGTCGGTGAGCAGATGTATGCTTAAGACAAAGTCAACTTATGTCATTACTTTTATATGGAATCCGGCTGAAGTAGAACATGTCAGTTATTAGAGGAATCGATTACTTGTCATCTCAAAGCACAGGCGGTATGCGGGAATACAGGGTGGGTTGATACGTGTCAGTTTTAGGACAGGGGGAGAGCGGAAGTGAGCGGAGGGTTTCACGCATTTGGTCGACCTTTGACAACGGTAAGCGCCGAGTTTTTATGGAGCCCTTCTGCGCGCACAAGACCGGCTTTTCTAGCCCGGTGGAGGCTAACATGTTTGCTAACATGTCATCTTAATACTACCGTAAGAAATTTCGTAACTCCCACCTCATTAAGTTTATCTATAAATAGATAAATAAACATAAACCATAAATTGTTTCATCTAGTAACCCCCAAATGGTACTGCCATTGCAGGTAAAATAAATTTTAGAGTGAATTTCCAAACATGTAGGCAGACGTTGTACTGAGTTCTGCACTTGCTTATAAAGTAGACAGTATGACATAAAACCGGTTAGTAAACAGCAAAAACTCACTTTTTGAAAAAGACGGATTGAATGTAATTTGATTAAATTTAAAGGAGAAAAACCGTCGTTCGCGGAAATGTAAATATGTGGGTTAGACAGGACCGTCCTGCACGTGGTAGTACATAAGGGTTCGAAACAATCATAGTCAAGCTATAATTCCTAGACCAGATGAGACTATTGGCTGCAGATGGGATCATAATATTTTCCGTTGACAACAGAGGTAACCAGTAAAATGCTAGGACCGTGAATTAGGGATCATCCACAAACATGTCACAATCACATTCCGATTCCAATACAAATCATCAGTGAACAAGAGAGAGAGGGTCGGACTGAGCACTGAAGCTCGGGGGACTGCAATCCCCCCTGACAGTCTGCCTTGATTGCGGCTGCACTAAACAGACAAAATAAGGGACGACCGACGATCAAATTCTCGATCCACTCAAAGTTTGCCTCCGATGTCCATCGAATGGATTCCGAGAAAAAGAAATACAGAAGGATCTTGGCGTTCGGGTGAAAAACACTCTACTGTAGAGCGGCTGAGGCCGCAACTGTAAGGCTGTACGACATACGGCGGGCATTCAGTTTTCGATAAAGACGGCTTCTCCAATGTCTTTGGCGAGTTTGTAAGGCCGAATCTTAAATATGCTGTCCAGGCCTGGAGGTCCTGAACGCGACAGGATTATAATATACTTGCAAGGCTGCAGAGACGAACCACAAAATTATTAAGGGGTCAAGGTGCACTGCTATACGAGATCCGCCTAAATAACCTTTTATCTCCTGAGTCATGGGCAGTTGGGCGTAGACTTGATATAAGCTATCAGTATTATGCATGGCTTGCACCGTGCCTTCCCGTGTAAGGACTTTTCCCACATCGCTACTACAACTTGCTTCCGGAGCATCCTTCCAAACTACACACGTTCCAAGGATAGATTTCACGTAAGAAAGTATTTTTTCTACAACCATATTGTAAAGCCGTAGAATTATCTGCCTGAAGCGATTGTAGTGCCTCAGTCTGTGATGACATTCAAACGGCACCTTGACAGACACATGCAGCAGCAGAAAGTGGACAACGTGACTGTGTACCCATAAAGACTAGTAAACTATGTGAATCTAAGTCAATATTCACTTGAAGCTGTCATTTCTTAACGTTGCTGTTAATTCTTTCAATTTTTATGTGACGAATAGAGGGTTGAAATGCGGGAATCTCTTTACCGCACATACAGTGAACATTGGAGACCTAAAATGCTCAAATATCAGTTGAACAGAAAAATTGCTTAAATATGCTACAAAAACACGCATTCCTAAATTTTCTTTCTATAGTTTCCGTAAATTGATCCCCAGACGCCAAAAACTTTTCAGGAACAGATAAGCACTCTTCGGCACCCCTCGTTTCTCATTTTCTTCGTAACAGACATAGAAAGTTAATGCGACGGCTCCATGACTCTGTCGTAAATCGTAATGTTCTCACGAACGAACGAGTTATATCTCACGAGCCCCTAGCCTTAAATGCAGCAAGGAAATCGGAGCAGTGAATAATATAGAGGTTTTTGAACGTTAAGAAAACTGACAACAGAATACCACAGCAGAGCACGCTAGCACGGCGGGTTGTACAGGTGTGTCGTTTCTCGTCACATTCAAACAAGCAATGCGGTCAAAGGAAATGGGACTAAATTGTCAAAGGTAAATTAGTCAGGTACCTCACCACAACTCTTCCACTGGTTTTATATCCGTTCATTTAAGAATCACAGAAATTCCCGAAATGGCCTCGAGGATGCGCCGAGTGCGCGACAGGCTAAAAGAAGCATTTGTTCTAGATGATCTGAACCCTATCCAATTCGTCACTAGAATCTTCCGTCATCTGTCCTCATTTCGGAGTGGTCACAAAATTCCACCCCTGCTAAACGATAACAAAATCTGTGGCGGTCAAGAATTTGAGATCAACTTAAACCACACACAAAAATTCCGTTTCGTCTAACTTCAGAAGTCAGAGAGCTGTGAGAACTAGTTTAGTCTGCACACAGGGCAGGTTGCCGTAAATTGGTTGTCTGCTTGCGACAGAGATAAGAGTCAGTTCACGGAGAGCATCAGTCGCGGTGAGTTGTTTCCGAGGGAGTGCATATCTTTGTCAGCAGGTGGGGGTGACTGGCTGAGTGCTGGTCATGTGATTCGACAGATTGGAGGAGGAATAAGGGGACGCATACGCACAAGGGCTCAAGAGTATCAAGCCAGAGCGTTCGACGCGCGTGACGCGATGAATATTTGTGAGGACAGCCGAGAGTCACTGCAGGTGGGCCGGTGGTGCCCCAGTTCCAGACGAAGGGAGTGGCGTGTGTCAACGGTTGTCGCGGCCATCGATATACAAAATGAAGCCGGAGAAAAGGGGGACTGGAGCGGCTGCTGCAAATCTCCCGCATCGATGGCACTGACAAGATGGTGTCGTTTAAGGAACACTTTTCAAAACACTTTACTACAGAGTCCGAACCAGTTAGATCAGCAGGTCAGAAACAACGGATATTAATGGAACCCATCAGGTAACGGAAGTGTCCAGAGAAAACGCGTCCGAGATAACGGAGTAATGCTAAAAACAGGGACAAATGCAACCAATAATTCGGCTGGTGCAAAACTCAGGTGCTTGTACACGAAAGCCCAAAGCCTCATATCGAAACTAGACAAGTTAAAGCTTTGCCTTGCCGAGCTTTCTCTGTAGATGTTTTAGCAATAACCGAGATCTGACAGTCCGGGAATATTAGCGATAGCGGAATAACCTTGCTTGGATACCAAATTTATCTGAGGGACAGGAAACATCGTCAGGGTGGTGGTACAGTTGTGTATGTAAATGAGGGCCAGGGAGTGACGGAAAACAGCACGAAGTCTGCGTGCGGCATGGAAGGCTACTGGTTCCCAGTGTCTCGATGTCCTCACTGTCTACCAACCGCCTAGTACAGGCCAAATCGCCGACACTCAACAATTGGAGCAGTTGGAGAAATTTTCCATCCGACCTAACATCACGAGCATGGGCGACTTCAGCGCACCAGGAACAAACTGGAACACCCTCCAGGGCGTCAGGTCCAAAATCGGCATTCGATTACCGTCTGCTGAACAAAATATTAAAGGCGTCCCTCACACAACATGTAATGTTCCCCAGGAGAACGCGTGAAGGACTTAGGGCAAACTGCCTGGATCTGGTTTTATCGCAAGCACCAGATAGCATACACGAGATCAACTCCATGCCGCTCCATGACCAAAGTGGTCATGTAGTGCTTATATGAGATTATTAGTTATTTCCCATTTCGCATACTCCAGGCCAAAAAAGACGGAATGCGTGGCGAGGCGACTGCTCTCAGATGAGGGCGGACTTATCCGGTCTCGACTGGGCTCCTTGTGTACGGGTAATGCCAACGATGACCGGGAGTTGTTCAAGAATGTCCTTCTGCCGCTCATCAACAACCACTGCCCATTGACTAGTGTAAGACTGGACAAACGCCCTGGGTGGATGAATAGCCACCTTAAGAAAGAAAGAAATCACCAGGAAACACAAATTCTGGAGAAAACATCGCGTCATTTGGCAAGTCAAATATTTCAACACCTACAAGACACAGAGGAACAAACAGAGAAAAATGATTATAAAAACGCGGCGGGAATTCGAGGAGGAATTGCTATAAAAGGTAACGCAGAACTCATAATTACTCTACAGCTACCTCTGACGAAGTACAGGGAACAGGCAGCAAATTCCCTTAATACGGACTACTGACGGCGTTGAGACTGTTGATAGTAGGGATAAAGCTGCGTATTTTTCAGTCTTTCCAATCAGTCAACACAAACGAGGCAAGGCTCCTTCCTCCCTCCACAGAAGAACTGCCGATCCCAAGCACCAGTGATATACTCTTCTCAGAAGGCATTGCCCGAAGAGAGAGAGAGAGGGAGCCATTGAACGAATCGAAGTCGCCAGGACCAGACATGATTCCACCCAAGCTTCTCAAGGAACTCGCCTGTGAGTTTTCTGTGACTTTGTCGATGCTCTTTCGAACGTCATTTGATACTGGAAGACTTTCAATTGATTGGAAGCCGGCGCATATTACTCCGCTATAATAAAGAGGTAGCAAGGCAGCGATGACACACTACAGGTCCATAAGCTTGACATACATTCTTTTCAAAGTTATGGAAAGGATCATAAAAAGTGAACTGATGCAATTCCTGGAAGTTCACGGCCTACTATCGAAATGTCAAAATGGGTTCCGAAAAGGAAAATCCTGCACGACAAACTTGCTGCAATCTCTCCAGAGCTGTACTCAAGCTCTGGACGACAGGCACGCGGTCTACATAGCTTCCATCGACTTCCAGAAGGCGTTGGACACTGTGTCACACCAGAGAATCTTACATAATCTAAAAAACATGGATCGCTGGCAACTTCCTTAGATGGATCGAAAACTTCCTTTTGGGTCGACATCAGGTTGTGTGCATCGGTCAGAGGGTGGTGTTCCCCAGGCTTTTGTATTGGGACCCACTTTGTTCCTTATATACGTGGACGATGTCGCAAGCGCTTTAGACTGCGAAGTAGCAATGTTTTCCGATGACATGAAAATATGGAGTGTAATCCGGGGCCCTGCCGACGAAGACAGACTGCAGGTGAACCTAAATCGGTTGGAAGAGTGGTTAAAACGTTGGCAGCTGCGGTTCAATACTGACAAATATAGCATACTTCGCCTAGGCGACACAGCCAGATCCGCCAACACAAGAGACTTCTTTCTGGGCGGTGTAGCTCTACAAGAGGTTGAAGACAAAAGGACCTCGGTGTGCTGACGACGATTTCCCTAAAACCATCCGCCCACTGTTCGAGAGTGGCAAAAACCTCAATGGCCGTACTGTACGCCATCAAGCGTGCGTTTATGGACTTTGACGAAGATGCTTTCTCAAAGACATTCGGGACATTCGTCCGACCGCATTTAGAGTACGGCATACAAGCCTGGAGGCCGTGAGCAATTGAAGATCAAATCTGCCTCGAAAGGGTCCAAAGGAGAGCCACGAGGACGGTTAAGGATCGAAGTTCATTTACTTATGCAACCCGCCTAGTAAATCTGAACCTCGTTCCTTTGAGTTACAGGCAACTTTGCGGAGATCACTTGTAAGCATTTCGCATTAAAAAGGGGTTCAATTGCAGCCTGGCCTTCGAGGACTTTTTTGAATTTGCTACCATGACCAACCTCCGAAATCATCCGTAAAAACTGAGCACTTAGCAGGCAAGGCTGGATGTGCAGAAGTTCTCCCTCTCTGTGCGTGTGGTCAAACCATGGAATGCCCTTCCCACAGATGTTGTGATGTCACCATCGGTACAAAGTGTTAAAAAGAACCTTGACATATATATGTTCGGAAATGACCAGGAGCGATGAGAGGTCGAGCCCACCCCTTGTAACTCGTTACCATTTTGTCCTGCCGTTATGGGCTCGTTTGAGCTATTCCAGCAGAGAACATTTTTTTGTATACCATACATTTTCAAAGTTGCAAATAGGGTACTCGAATGCTTTCGCCTATCTCCCTCAATAAACTGAACTGACTTCAGAAAAAGGTCACACAGAGAACGGCCTTCGACTTTTTGTTACCAACATCCAATAGCGCAAATGCACGGAGGCCATTGGTGAATTACTCTAGCGCCGTATACAAATGCTATTGGCCGCTTCGTCTCACCGTTCGTTGTTAAGTCGGTGATGGCGTCTTGGACGCTGCAAATATGTCGGTAAGCTGTCGTACCTTCTTCGTTGACGACTTTCTAGCCGTTTCTTTTGTTTCTTCTAGCTTTGCAGGTTTCAGTCGCCTGGGGACTGAAAGTCGTGATAGAACTCAGGGACTCCGACACTTTTCTCGACGAATCTTTCCTTAATCGGCACGAAACTTCTGCTTCGGAGCTGACAATTATTTCAAATGACCACATTACCCGTGAAATCGCCCCAACTGCATTTTCAGGTTATAAGAATCTAAAATCACTCACCGTCCATACACATTTGAAGTCTGTCAACGGAATAAAATGGGAAACGTTGCAGTCCCTCTCCCACCTTTCACTTTCTGGTTGCAATCTCCGATCACTGCCAACGTTTGGCTTCTTACGTGCTTCAGAAGACCTAACATATCTTAATCTGAGCTCTAATTTTTTGAGCTTTCTCCCACCTGACCTCGCGACCTCTGTACCAAAGTTGAGGTGGCTGGATATATCTTCAAACTCTTTTGAAGAATTTCCTCACTTTGCGTCAGCTGGCCAACTTAAATCAGTCAAAGTTGCAAACAATCCTTTTGCTTGTAATAGCATCAATGCTTGGCTATATCAGAAGCTGCCATTTGAAGGGATCGATTTTCCGCGGTCGTGTCCCGCCCCACCCCAAACGTACTCCGTTGGATTCATACATACTTCCCTAAATCAAACCCTTCTCTCACCGGTCGCTGGAGATTTTCTCATAAATTGCTCGGTGAACTCTTCTTCACTTCATTGGCGTTTTGCCGTCCAGTCGCCAATCGGGTTTATCCCGGGACCTGGTTGGACCAGTCTCGTTGCACAGCCTCACCAAGAGGCAAAATTCTCTTACAAAGTGCAGCCCGTGCAAGCCTCGACAAAAATTGATTTCAAGCAGACCACGCCGACCAGTGCGTCAATGAGTGTTCAGTACGTGAGAGGGCATCACTTGGGGGATTGGCGCTGCGTCGCACGATCGACGGGCAATGTATACGTGAGTCCCAGCGTTGTGCATGTCTCACCAATCAGCCAAGTTCATGATATATATATGACTTCTCTCGTCTTTGGATTCATCGTAATGGCGATCGTTCTGTTACTCGCTATATTCATAGGATCTGTACGCTATCTGAAGGAGACTAAGTGTTTTGCAAGGCCCCAGATGCACAAGTACACCAGTCGCACGCTCATCGGCGTCATTCCAGTGCCTGGTCCTGAAAAAAAGTTCACAGTTTCTTTCGAAGGCATACAATTAAATCAACGCATTTGTCCACATTGCCTTATGCAGACGCGCTTCTTCTGTGCGCATTGCCAGACAGTCCATTTCTTTTCGGAGATTGAAGTCGAGGCGTCACCATCCCCGAATGTTCTGACTGATATTGAAGTAGAGCACTCAGCACAGGACCCGACATCAGACAGGCTACCCCAAAGGAAAACGAGTGTCAGCAAAGAATACCCAGCGGAACCCGGACCGTACCTTGACCCGCTTTTAACTCAGAAAACTCAGCAAACTGATGGGACTGCCGGTCCTAGTCGTTCTGCCGACGATATCGAGGCAAACGGTGTAACGGTTGGCCTAGATGGGTTTGCCGTAGAAATTCAAGATAGTTTAAGGGCCTCTTGTCAAGGCGACAACTCTAACTACCCGACGGGGGCCAAAGTAAAGTGCTCATATGATTTTCCCACGGAATACTGCCACTGTTGTCATCAGGCGCACAATTTTACGACTATAGAAGAGGAGACAGTTGAAAAATCCATGCGTGATGTCAAACTCATTGTTCCTGACGAACAGGTGGCCAAGGAATACACCGAAGCACTACAGGAACTCAAAGACGCAGCAATCGCAAATGATGCACTCACTTTCCGTGAACGGCTGGAGGACTTTCGAGAAAAGCTCCGTCATGATGTGGGTGCTGGTGTACGCGTTGCACGCAGCGAACTAGTCACCTTGCGCACGAGGTCGGCCAGGAGTGTAGCTTTTCTGCGAAATCAAAGCACTGTGGCCGCACAAAGAGTCAAGGCGGGTCTTTCCCAGGTCAAGGATGGGATGCGAAGTGTGGCCGAACTCTGCGGCGTTGGAGGATCCATCGGACAATCAATTTCCATCATAAGCATTTCGAAGGACGAGGATACTCAAACTTCGAAGGAACGTTGTTTTTCAGAGTTCCATTTCTAGTTTATTGAAACAGAACCTGCTTCTGTTCCTGTCAGTCTTTCATTCAGAACTCTTTCCTCTGCGCTGTCCCGGGAAGCCTGCCCAAACTGACACGAGGTGTCAGGGACTGCCAGCGCCGTATGAGCACCGAAAGGCGTGCCGGCATTCGGACGAATTTTTTAGTAAGTTATTCAGCTGTAATCACGGAATATTCTGACCGCGATTTTGCTGTTTAACTCAAAGTAAAATGACTGAAGTTTTTAATTTCATTTACAACTTTTGTTTTTCTTTGGATCTACCAATAATTCACAAAATCGGTATTGATACAAAGGTTTTTATTCTGAGTAATCGATAGGTCATAGTAGTTAAAAGTTTCGGCGACCAAAGCCACCTCTGGGTTGGAATCTGCCGCTCTGCCTGAAATGTTGATTAAACGAAGAATCACTGCTTGCCGCTTCTGATCCATTTGGGCGTTCTGTTTTTATATGAGTTAGAACGGGTGGTTCACTGGTGAACAGGTCGACAATGATCTGCAGGAGTCGGCCTTCTATGGTCTGTTGGTCCCAGTCTGTGGGGCCGGGCCTTCGGATTTTGCAATCCAGCAGCTTATCGATACACTTCTTGAGACTCTGAAGGGCAGAAAACATGTAGGCATCATGCAAGACAATGTTGTGGATAGTTGAAAACCAAAGCTTATGGAAATGAACTAGTCTGAGCAGCGTTTGTAAACAGGCAGGCGAAGTGAGGTGAGGGATTAGGTTATCACCGCACGGAAAGCGAACTTCACTAAATGGGCGGGACTATCTTAGCTGAAAAAATCTAGTGCTGGAAACTTACTTTCATTAGTTCGGCAAGCCGGTGAGAAGATTTGAACCTAATCCAGTCGTCAAGAATAAGGACCTCTTCGTCTCCAACCTTAAGAGTAGAAAACCGAGAGTTAGATGTGGCACCAACCGAACCTGGAAAACTGCATAAGCACCGAGTGAGGACGCAGGTGTATCCCAGGGGGCCGTGACAAGTGTGAGACGTTGGATTTCGCAGGTTGATTGATCATCACATGTCGAACAACAGAGTCCTTGACATGTAACCGCACAGTTGTATGCAATGTTACTTAGCCAGGAAACACGCCATGTCCTACGTTGAAAGTGTTCAACAATACTTACTCAGTGCACGTCAGAAAAAAAGACAGGTGCTCTGATCGACGTTTACTTGAAAGAAGGGGTATAAACCAATTCAGTGGTGCCTTTGGGCGTGGTCTCGCAAACAACCCTACGGGAAGAAAAATGTAAACCCTATTGGGTTACTTTGTTTCCATTAAAAACGTAACTAAGAATGGGCCCAAACTGTCAGACGACATTTTGTCAACGGGCCAGAAATTAAGTCGTCTCCCGGCATCACCCGGGACTCAAAATACCAATGCACCATGGGACTGGCAACACAAATCTGGTGGAAGTGGCGTCTGGACACAGAAGTTAAGTGGCCACGATCAAGTCATTCTGACTCATATATTGTTGCCCAACGGTTGTCGACCACCAATTTCACGGATAGTTTAAGGGTAAGCGGACCGAAGTAGAGTTCCCCAAGCTGGAAGGTTGGTAATTCCACGTAAAAACAAAACTATACGAACTAATTGGTGAAACTGCGCTTGTCCTATCGGTCACAAGACAAACCCTCTATAGTACTCTTCGGCCAGGCTTCTTGCAGAAGCCCTTTTCCCCTATGTGGGTCGACAACGATAAGAACTGACAGAGCGCGAAACGAGGGGGTTAAGGCCGAAGCTGAGGCCTTTTTCAGAGAGACAAATGCCCAAGTGGGAACTTGCACCTTGCGGGGCTGTAACGCCAGCGAAGAGGATTCGAGCGGACAACGGTTTCGGTATCGATACAGCAAGACTTCTAAGGAGTCTGCCAATGCATGCCGACTCTCAACTAACGTTTTTTTCCACAGTAAAGCGTATGGGAGCTGGCAGAGCCGCGAAATCAGGTGTTTATATGCCCGAGATTACGAATCGTTGAGGAAATCCGCCGTCGGAGGTGACGGCACCGATTACCTCGAGTCGCTGCTTGCATCCTCGAAAAGGGTCACGACTTTAAATAAATGCTCAGATTGGGAGCATGACTAGCCGCAAGATGTGGCTAATAACCCCCTGATGAGACCTTGTCCTACCGACGGGTGGAGCTGCAGGGATCATGTGCACATTTATAACACTGGCTCGATTAATACTGCCTACTTTGTGGCTGACGATGGACATTCTACAAAAGCTCGAGAAGTCGGGGCAATTAAACAGGTGCTCCCGGTGTTCAGCCAGTCTTCTTGTTCCATACAACAAGTACCTGTGTGCCCGGATATTTGCCTCTATTAGTGCTTTACTTTTAATGGGCTAAGGAGCATGGGGACAGCCAGTCCCTATTTTGCACTTGCATCTCTGTTCGGGCTTGTGTCTCCGTACTCTATTTAGAGCAGGTATAGAGGGAGATGTTCTCTTCTATGGCGGGCCAACGAAGAGCTTGGGTCAGCCGATGGAAAAAATGCTTCCACACCTGTTCCAGAAATAAGCACCGGCCTCCCGTGTCAACTTGAACACACGCGTTCGCCCGTTTATTCCTCATCAAGACTGTCGGCCAGGGCGGACAAGCATTAATGTCTTAGGACCAGAGGCCGACTTACTGGTGCAGGCAAGCAAGCGAACTTCTGGCTGCTTAACAAGATATGGTAGTTGTATTCGCTTGCTACGACAACCAACGTGGTCACGGAAAAACTTAGCGTCGCAACCATCTTAAAAGCGCCATCCGAGCAAAGAAAGACGATAAAAACAGTCGTTCGGTCCTGACAACTCAGCGAAACACACAACCTGTTGTGTAAGGCCTCTTACTAAGACAGTGAAAGCCTATCTGTCGTTGCTGTACCCCAACTCCAGATTAGGAAGACTTGAAATCTAAATTCAGTCCAGTATGTCCCTGGCCGGTTAGGCCGCAGAATTGCGGCGTGAACTGCAACCAGGAACAGCGAAAGCCATAAGACAGAAGAGTGATTTAATAGAAGCCAGAAAATGGAGCGTCATGGTCAACCGGAACATCCACATTTCGTTCTGAAATCAGGCCAATTCGAAAAACGCCATTGTCACGTTGACTTGTCGTTCAAATTGTTCAATTACGCTATCGCTTGGTCCTGTGAAGCGCGAAAAGAGAATTAGGGTGTGACCGTGTCTGCAGGCGCAGACTAGTTCGCATACAATTAACTAAAGTGCCAACCGGCGCAAGCCAGGACAAGGATGTGAACAAAAAAGGCCGCATACTCTCGAAATATCGTAAACAAAAAACTTCGCAACTACTGAACAATAAGGCTTCCAATTCGAATGCTAATGCCGGAGGCCACAAGTTTTTTCCGGCTAGCCTTAGACCAATTAGAATAACTTCCTGTGGGGCATGGAGCCGGTGACTGCACCAACGTGGTGCGTAATTCGAATGCTAATGCCATACTTCACAATCAAACGTGCACCCAAAGGAGTCTCGGAGGAAGAACACGAAGTTAGGGGGGTTATGAATAAATGAATAAACGTTGATGAGGAGGAATATGGCGTAATCCTCTGGCAAGCTAAGAGAAGCACAAATTGTCAGCATGTGCGCCCGACGGTTAAAAATATCAAGACTGGTGAACAGCCAGATTTTTATAATGAAATATTAAATGGCTACTGCAGACCAGCATGAATGGTTAAATGGCCATGTAAACACGGGAAGGAGGCAGGATTTCCGCCAATAGAGGACGTCCAGAGAGTTAGAAGGACAAAGTACAACTGTTGAGTAACTAGCAGAACACTAGGCACGAAAGGCTGTGATGTCCCATCTATGTTCGTGCCATGCAGGCGTATTTGGTTGATGCTATTGGAGGCTCAGAAGATGGAAAGTGTGGGAGCTTTTAAATGTCGGCGCAAGTTAGAGAGCTTATACGACTGAAGACTATTCGACATTAAGCAGTAAGGTTGACAGGTTTCGAAGCTGCCTTGTTTGAAGTCACAGGTCCTAGGGACTATTTTTTGAGCCGATCGAAATTTAGAGGCCTCCGGAATCTAGACTAGTCCTTTGCTCTCGAGTCGTCTACCCCTTTCAGCCTTGCTACTTTAGGACCCTGTGGCCATAAGCGTTAATTGGCTGGGGGGGTTCGTCCAGAACTCGCATCGGACGTTCTCGAGGAGTTGAAGGTTTTTCCGGTCGTTGTTTTCACCCAAGGAAAGTAAACCATGCATTGGATTTCCCAGTTGGGCGCGTTAGTTGTGGAGAGCAGGGGAGGGGGGGGGAGAGAGAGACTGCTCGAACTAACAACCGCACCACTGGCATAAATTTAGCAAAAAGTATCGTGCTGGCCTCCGAACTAACCGGCCATCCTCGTTAACCCGATAGAAGTTCAGACTGGTACCGACGGCCCTTTGAAACGCTTCCAGAAGTCGCCATTTGCATGCTCTTGTCGAACTTTTAACGCGCACTTTTTGAGGTCCATAGAAAGGCAGTCGATTGACCAAGCTGTGAGTGTTCGCATCCTTCGTTACATAGATCACGGGCTGCGGATCTACGAGTCTCGTTTGCTGTCCTGAATGTAGGATAAAAGAACGCGGAACATCCACCATGGTGGATCTTGTTGCCCGCCAGGAGGGAATAGGCAGAGGCCTCCCACTTATCACCTACCTCAGGCTGTTTTTCAACAGTCTGGCATAGTCTTGGGACATCGCAGTCATTGCGTCTCGGTGACTGAATATCCCACCTAACGTCTTCTGCCTTAAGGCAGACAGGTACTTACATGTGACGATGTACATAGGGCTGATATGCAATGTGTATGATAGTAAAAACCGACAGCTGCCCAATCAGATGACTCGAAGAGGCTGTCGGCTCTGGTGAGCACCCAGTAGCTGAAAAGAAGTGCAAAAGACAAATGACCAGCAGGCTGTTTGAGCGCTTGAGAGTGTTCAAATGTCATACGGTTCTAGGAGAGAGGATGCTATGCAAATACCGCCGGCAACGGACCAGCAG